GGCCGACCCAGGCCACATGCACCAACTCATCTGCCTCCTCCGACAGCAAGGGTCCTGGCCAGCAGCTGAACACAGTGGACATGCTGAGGGGGGGCCCCTCCTGGGAGGTGTGCAGCCATGGCAGGTGTCTGCAGCTTGCAGAAAACCCTGTACTTTAGGACAGGCAGTAGTCAGCTGTGACGATAAAACTCGGAAAGGAATATGATCGCTGGTTATCCCCGGGAGGATGGGGCCAAATCCCAGTTACTGGAGTGCCGCTGTGCCGGCAAGATCTGGCATCTTGGCCTCTGTGCAGACGATGGGCTCAGTCGGATGTGCCCTCCCGCAGCTTCCCATACCCCTAACGCTGACCCTGACCCTAACCCTAACACTGGACCTGACCATGGCCCTGACCCTGACCTGACCCTGAGCCTGACCCTGACCATGGCCTGGACACTAACCCTAACCCTAACCCTGACCCTGACCCTGACCCTAACCCTAACCCTGACCCTAACCCTAACACTGGCCCTGACCATGGCCCTGACCCTAACCAGAACCCTAACATTAACACTAACATTAACACTGACCCTGACCCTAAACACTAACCCTAATCCTAAACCTAACCCTAACGCTCTAACCCTAACCCTAACCCTAACCCTAACCCTAACCCAGCCCTCTCCAGCAGTGCAGCTCACTCCACAGACTTTCTGCCCAGTAGAATCCTCATGTCGTTCATCCCGTCTCACTTTCTGCCTTCAGGAGATCGGTTATCCTGTGGGACATGTTCTGCCAGGGCAGAGACATGAGCCGTGCTGGGGCCTGAGAGGAGAGGGACCGGGAGGGGGTTGAAGCTTGGGAGGAGGGGCAGGGTGGCAAGACAGCAGTCTCCCCGCAGCCCCCAGAGCAGGGTCACAGTGTGCTGATGGGCTCGAGGTCTCCTGCAGGGCATCACCAAGACATTAGTGATTGTGTCGGTTTGGGGCTTATTTTGCAAGGGGAACAGCATAATACAGGACACATACTTTATATGATT